ATATATATATATATATATATATATATATATATATATATATATATATATATATACACACAGTATATACATGTATATAAATACACATTCTCTATTGAATTAATATTGAATATGTGCAGACTGAACAGGTGCTACTCTTATTTGCTCAGGAGTTATTTAAAAAATATATTTGAAATATACCCCATTTTGTAACCCATGTTACTGTTATTTTACTTATGCCTGATGGAGATGCCATCGCCACTAAATATTTTAGACAAATTTATAAAGCGTTATATCTAGGTTCCAATGTAATCGTATATAAACTGAAAAAGTTATGTACATTGTGTTTTACATCTTGAGGTAAAGATGATGACATTCGAAGAAGATCAAGTCAGTCAGCCCAGGTGTCTGAGACATTAACCTTTTGTCTTTATGCACTTCCTGACCATTGGGCAGGGTCCCAAGTTAAAGGTGAATGCTAAGCTCAAGGCACAGCTGTGCCTTTGTCTCTATGATAATGTGAAGGTGTGGGCGATACTGTCAGGCTGATTGGATTAGCACCTATGCATTTGAATGACACTGTTATGCTGATGAGATCTGGGCTGGAGAAATTCCGGTAACAGGCTGATTCCTGTACTGCATTTGCATGCTTTGTTTAGATTGTCTCCACCTCTATGTATCCCTCCCCCTTGAAAGGTATAACCTCTACTGTGCTTAGCTATAGTCAGACTTGGATGACTGCAGCGACGCACAGCGAGTCCTCAATAAAGAGTAACTTCTGTATAAAAGATATCCCAACGTCTCCTGGTCTCTCCTTCGACGAGGAAAAAGTTTCCTACAGTTTTGGTGCCGTGACCCGGATAGAGCTCCTCACCTGAATCCAGATTGAAACTTCAAGCTCAACAAAGATCTGACTTCGTTCCAGACTGAATCTGTTTGAGTTCAGTGGATATTCTCCAAAATAGCACCAGGGTGACGCTGAGGAGACAAATTGTTGAATAAAGTCGTTATTTTTGTTTTCTTCGCGTACAAAAAGTATTCTCGTAGCGTCGTAAAATTACAGTTGAACCCCCTTCATGTCACATGGATTATTTTACCTATCTCCTTGCTAGGTTTCTGGACCTTGATCGTGATAATTACATTGATGTCTATGGGAGGGTCAGAGAGCTCTCAGAATTCATCATAAATATCTTAATTTGTGTTCCGAAGATGAATGGAGGTCTTACAGGTTTAGAACAACATGAGGGTGAGTAATTAATGACAGAATTTTCATTTTTGGGTGAACTATCCCTTTAAAACTACATTCTGTCACACAACAACAGTAGTATTTGTAAAATTATAGTGGGTTTGCACCTCCCATGATGCTTATTGGGACAAATGGTGTAAGCAAAGTGATACAAATGTGAAGGCTGGAAAGACCTCTCAGCCAATCAGGTTACCAGAAGTAACTGTAGTTTAATTGTAAAGTAAATAATCCATTAAAACAATGCAGTGTGGCCTTTGAGGATTCATTTTATTAAGTAAACATTGCTTTAAAACAAGTAACACAATAAATATCAGACATGAAGAGAGAACATGCGCAAATATCTGCATGGAAGCATTTGAAAGAGGCTTTCTGTCAGCCTAGTGTACCAAGTTTGGTCCTGAAGTACCAGGGGTCTCATTTATAAACGTTGCATACGCACAAAATGGGCATAGAAATTGTGTATGCATTTTTCCAATCACATATCGGGATTTATAAAAAATTTATTTGGCGTAAATATGTACATTCTAGACCATACACTCTTTTTCCTGGAGTGAAAAAAGTAATGAAGTAAACAACGATTTTAAACTCTGTTTTCATTTCGATATACACGTTTACATATTATAATATTAAATATTCCACTCTCATTAATGGAGATAAGCACTGAAATTACGTAAAGTCATTGCGCAGAAGTTAAACAAAAACATATCTATAGTGGATGCACTTAATCACTTTTCCTGTGGCATGGTATGTTTTAATGACAGCGAGGAGAGCTATAGGTGCACAATAATTAATCTTTAAATTAAACTGCAGATCAAATATTATGAGAAAATATTTTTAGTGATAACAATGATCAATGATGCGCACTTACTTCGATATTATGGCAGACACTCTGGATTCGGTGATCGAACGGTCCATTGTCTGGTTTGAATAGGGCCAATGATAATAGCTTACTGTACAACCACAGCTGCATGCTGTGTGAAGGCATCTCCACAACATTATGAAAAATACCACTGTATTTGAAAGATACAGCTTGAAGAAAATGGTCATTTGCACATTTCCTTTTTAAAATATTTTGTCAGTGACACGCCGACAATTCTATTTACACTGCAATAAATATAGGCCTATCTGTTTCCACTAAAAATAGCTAAAAGATGTTCACCTTATCTGTCACGAATCCAGTCTATGAACTTCCGTTCACTCACCACCAGAGGTCACCCGCTCACTACATGGACTCTCACACTACACAGACTGTTACACTATACCCTGCACTACATTTCCCATCATCCATTGCACTGATTGCACACAGCTGTAACCAATCACACGCGCACCTGCAAGCCATTACACACACTATATAACACCTACTCAGATCCTGCTCAAGTCGTGGAGTATTGTTCTGCATTTATCACTCTCCTAGTATTAGCTGCTTTACCAAGCCATCCTGTGATTCCTGAGTTAGCGTTTAGTCTTGTTCATATTCTGTTTACCCGCGTTTTGACCTTAGCCTGTTTTCTCATCTTGTCTGATCTCTACCTGCCCTGAAGTTTATTGCCCGTCTTGGATCTCTGTCTCATCTTGTCATTTGGACTCTGTTTGCCCCTGCCTGGACTATTACCGTGTACCTGGATTATCTCTCTCTGTCTAGCCCTCTGGATGTCATTTGCTGATCGGAGACCCTCGTCTGCTCTTGGATTATTCTTGTGTCTTGCCCGTACCATACCTGTTTGCCATTGTTTGACCCTGCCTGTGTTCTGACCATGTTTATAAATAAAGCTTGCACATGGATCCTCACGTCTCGTCTGCCCCGTTACATTATCAGCAAAACTGCATAAATTACTTTTGATTTGAATTGTTTAAAATAATTGAAATACTATTTGGCCACTGGAAAAGAATGAGATATTAGAGAACTATTTTAAACAGTTTTGTTTTTATGGCTATTTTGATATATTTATTCTAAAACATAACAAGGATACTGGATGATTTTTAGCAATAAAAAATTATGTATGGCACGAATGGCATTTATAGTCCGTATCTCATATTCCCTTAATGTCTTGTACCTTTGATGGTGTTAAACATGGTGTAACATGGATGGAATGTGCATGGAAATTATATGCAGATGAGGTTATGCATAGTAAAACTAGGCGTTGGAAGCTCTATATATGGTGATTTCGGGGAGGAGTCAGGGGGAGATGCACGTACGCACAATCTTCCCCTGACTGGGATTTATAAAGCAATTTTTTGTTCAGGTTCTGGCGTACACATGGTTTTATAAATCAGAAAATTTTTGTGCGTATGCAAACTTTAGCTTTTGTGCCTACGTACACTTTTAGGATGAAATCTACGGAGAGTTTTATAAATGAGAGCCCAGTACTTTTTATATCTCTACTTAGGGCATAGAAATGGTTATTCTTAACTCTTTAACTACAGTGCAATGAGTTCCTTGACTTAAGAATTGTCTAGCATTGTCTGATGTTTTCATTTAATGTTTCCTAGAAGATTAAAAATATTCAATAGTCAAAATACTTGGAAGCATTTAATATTTTATCTGATAGAAGTGGGATGTTTAGGAAGGAATGAGTGAATCATATAATTTTTTATAATTTAATAATTTTTTATAAAAAAATTGAAAAGCTGAACTTGTCTTTATATTTTGAAGCATTGTCATGTATATTTTATATTTATTTTCACTTTTTTGTTGTTTTCCATGTAAAACCATTTTAAAAATACAAAGGGAGAGATAGATAGGTAAAACTGAATTCATAAATGAACCAACTACTGACCTAAATGGTATTTCTTCTCATTATATTGTGCAGACATTGCAAAAAGACAAAAGTGGTCAGACGCTTGTTAGATTTATCTGTCACCACTGATAAGTTACTACTAAATATATTGTAGAAACCTAATTTGCTGTAAAGTTGCTTTGCAACGATTTGTATTGTGAAAAGCGCTATACAAATAAACTTGAATTGAACTGAATTTAAATTTGGGGATGGTTTCCAGATGTTAATTAAGGCCTTGTCTACACGAACACAGGTATTTTCAAAACCGCAGCTTTTTCTATGCGGTTTCGTCCACACACAAATGCAGTGTCAGGTCACTGAAACTGAACCTTTTTGAAAACTCCTGCCAGGGTGAAGATTTTCAGAAACTCCAGTTGCAGTGTTGTCGTGTAGCCAGTGAAAGTGAAACTGATTTTGGCTTGTGACGTCGGAATGCACGCTGTTATCTCCTTTGACTGATATCAAATTGTGCACCACTATCTCCTTTGTTTACATGAGGCGAGTCTGTAATTGGCCAACATGGCTTTACGGTTAGGGTTATATCAGCACCTGTTGGTTTGACATGCTCTTGGCAGCACTTCATAGTAGGGATGCTCCAATCCGCCTTTTTCGCCTCCAATACCGATCCGATACCTAGGGTTCGGTATTGGCCGATACCGATCCGATACCAGTGAAGTTTTTTTTCCCCATTTAAATAAATGTAGAATTTATATATCTCTGTGTGTGGAACTGATAATCATTCTTTCACAATCTACTAGATACAGACTACTTCATTATAAAGAAAAATAAAATAAACAATAAATATGAAAAAAATATAGGCCTATGTATATTTATAATCTATGACAAAAATGTATCATAAACTAGGTTAGTGGATAATTCGGCAGCAAAAGTTATTCTAGAAAAATCGGTGCACAATAATTTTAGAAATCCAAACATTTAGTGAAAAAAAATTTTTTTGTGGGGAACAAATAAAAGTGTTGCACTAAATATAGTAAAATGTTACATTGCTATATTTGTATTATAAAATCCATTCA